TTTAATTAATAATTTGCGACAAATTATTAAGGCAAATGAAGTTTTGATAGTTTACATTATGATCATATTCAATGTAAATTTTTCTAAATGATTCCAACTACAGTTATCAAATTTTTTTCAGTTAACAAGTTTTTCTTTTCCTTTTTTTAATAGTTCACATGTGGCAAAGATGCTAAAGATGGACACTATTCTTATCATATCAGTTCACACTGATAATAAACAAATTGTAATTGTATGGATTAATTCAAACTCGGAATAACTTTTGCTAAATTAAAAAAATTTAAAAAATTCCTAATCAATATAGAAAATTACATATTACATAAGAAATTACATAAAAATAAAAAAATTACATAAAAAATTACATAAAAAATATAAATTTATATTGAATGCTAATTTCAATTTAAAATAAATTTTACGAACTTAATCAACGGATGAATTTTTCTTGAAATTTATTAATTTTTTTTTCCCTCAAATATATGATACGGTTGTTATACTTTTTATTATAATTTTATTTTGTGAAAAATATACTTTTTATGGAAAATAAATTTGTTACCTTAATATTTGTATACATTGTATTAAAGGATAATATAGCAAATAATTTGATTTATTGTCATAAAATTGAAGCAAATATAAAACTTTTACATCTATCGCTTAAAATGCAAACTAAGATGAAAAATATGATGTACACGTATACGTCTACCTTATTACGTACACGTGCTATCTTATAGCTTACGTGATTGTTAATTACATATTACATTGAAGAATAACAATTAATTAATGGTTGCTATACTTCCCATGCTATTTTACAAAAAGAAAAAATTCATTTTATGATCAAATTATTTGCTCCATTAAATGACAATTATGATTTCAGTTTGATTGTGTGAAAAAAAAATCATAAAGACAATTTGATTTAATTATCCTTGAAAAATGGTATTAACATAAAACTTTTACATGAATGTCTGAAGATTTCAGATTTCACACGTAAACATAAACGTATACGCACACGTACACGTATTATCTCAGCTTGAAGCTTGTGATTATTCAATAATGTATTGCAGTAAATGATAATATAGATTAGCAGTTGCTATAATTTTCACGCTAATGCTTAAATTTTACGCTATCTAAATGATTTTCTTACGTAAAATTTTAGTTTTTTTTTTTTGTTTTTTTTTGTTAATAATATGAAATAGCTTACTGACTATCGAATGAATTGCCTTTGATGAACGTTGACATGTTCGGTATTAGAAAAAGAAATGTAGAAATAATTATTTGCATTAAATATCGACAAACCATTTCACTTATTCTATCTTTCGTTTTATCGCCTATCGTATCAATGTATGTTACCGTAGTTATCCTCTGTAATTTGCAAATTTTAACTGATTGATAATTAAATGTAATACGATAAAAAAAAGAAATGATATGTTCATGCAAGAAATCACAAAGAAAAAAAACATTCGGAAAAGAAATTAAGTAATTTAAAGAAAAAAAATTAAAACAAGAAATGATTTATTGAAATTCGTAAGAATACTAACAACTAATTAAATGAATAATATCGTTTACTTATTCATCATAATATTTGACAAATGAAGTTAAAATTTTTTTTTTAAAAAAAAAAATAGTTAATTGAAAAGATGAAAATAGCACAGAATATATGAATCGAAATAGTCTAAAGTGGTTAGAAGAATGAAGAAAGATGGACAAAAGAATTTTTGCTGATTTTCTCCCGGGGTATTTGAGAGAATGTGAACGGGATATTTGGGACATGATGAAGGA